AACGCTCCTCTCCAAGAAAGAAATCTGGCCAAGACAATAGCCAGGGACAAGCCAGTGAATACTTTGAATGTACTCGCAAACATTTTGAACACGGGTATAATATCACAAACGATAATCATGCTCTGAAATATTCTATGATCACAACGTCAGTCATAAAATAAAATCCCTGAGGCATGCAAGCAGGTTATTTATATACAACATGAATGTGCAATAACAGAGTAGTAATAAAAAGCAGCGATTGGGTGTCTGAAGCGATGCCTCGAAAGGATAGTAAATAACGAGCATGCCTCAGTCGGGCGTCTGAGCGACACCACATAAAGGGCTTATAGAGTAGATAATTAACAAGCAGGCCACAGTCGGGCATCTCAGCGACACCACATAAAGGGCTTATAAATAATAGAAATAACAAGCAGGCCACAGTCGGGCGTCTCAGCGACACCACATAAAGGGCTTATAAATAACAGAAATAACAAGCATGCCACAGTCGGGCGTCTCAGCGACACCACATAAAGGGCTTATAAGAAAACAATCCCAATGAATACCCAGGAGGTTGAACCGTCCCACGGATACTCAATACTTCAAATAATATAAAGAGTTAGCCCATGATAATAATAATCATAATCATCATAAGTCACACGTCATGATCCATGTTCTGGTTTAGCAGTTTCTCCTCCGAAGACCGACACTTGACCCATCCCAGACTGTAGTCCTTAACCATGGACACGGCTATTCGAATAGATTTGACCTCTGCAGAGGGTTAACTCTTTACCCACGAGTAATGGATTCCTTTAGTCCATCGGGACTAATTCCATCTACAGCCTTTTAATTGAAAACACACCTGACCCGCACACACCAGCTTAACTTACCGGCGCCTGGAATCACCCACGACACTTGTTAAGCAAAACTCTAAGTGGGGAGGCTACAACCTCGATTAGCATGGGATCAAATTTATATCGCGCGCTCTAAGGGGTGCCCCCCTCTCGGTCCCAACCGGAAACACCCATGCCCCCGGACTAGGTGGCCTGCCTACTGGATGCAGCCGGTATCTTCCACCATGGCCTCTCTGTATGGTGTGTGCCAAGAAAGGGGTTGACAATTTACTGAACTGTACCCTACCTGTGGCTGGGACAAGTGGTAGTATGAAACAAGTATGGGGGTTACTGGAACAAGACTCGATCTACGGTTGACTCAGGAGGTTTAAAATTTCCCTGCATATATGTATAACAACTATATTTCAACCAACAGAATCACCACTCATCATACCTTACTATGCCATACCGGACATAACCGTCTCGACGAAGACCGGGGACAAGCTCATGCCTACCCGACGAAGAGGCTTTCCCGTATTTCTTTCCGGCAGGCATGCAAGGCATATGAGGACGATTACCATCACAAGTATATCCATTTCATACAGCAAGGAAATCTCCAATATGCATTCATGCAAATGATCGTATCACCACATAAAATAACGAGTTCTCCGTATTAGGGTGGTGTTATAATCGTGTCAAACAACACACAAAAATATTATGCCAGGGTTCAGAATGCTTGCCTTCAAGTTGTGGAGAGGCAGGGTGCATTCCCAAAACTTTTGGAAGTTTTCTTCTCTCTCCAAAAATCCTATTTTAGAAAATATTCAAATTAACCCATAGTTTCAAAACAGTGCAAAAAAGTTGTCTGAAATTTTTTCAAATAAATATGAAAATAAACTAGACCAAATTTGAGAGATATACGAAAAAGAATCAACTCATTTGGAGTTTTATTTTAAAAGATATGCCGAGTCAAAGTTTACTCAAAGTTTTGATTTTAAATAAAACAGAAAACAAAAGAAAACGTTTCGAAATAAATACATGTCGAAGACGTACTTTGCATTTGCGCCTCCACTTACGCTAGCGTGGGCCGGCACTGGGTCACTGACAGTGGGTCCAGGGGGCCCACTGGTCAGGTTTGACCAGTCGCCCCCGCCTCCTTCCTCCTCTGGCCGAACAGGGGCGGGGCTCCGGTGATCGTCGCCGGCGATTGGCGGCTCCTCGCAGGCTCCGGAGGGCAGGGATGGATCCGCCAGTTCGGGGCGGTCCTCCCGGTGGTCGTTAGGTAGGTGGGGACAAAGGGAGTCACCAGCGGCGAGCTCCGCGGCGGACGGCAGCTATGGGTGGATTGGGGGTTTGGGCTACGGTGGCTCCCCGACGGAGCTGAGGGTTTGGGCGGCTCCGCAAGACCCAGTGGAGTCGGGTGGTGCTGCTAGAAGGGCGGGGAAGGGCCTGCTGGCGACAAACGGAGCCTGAGCATGGCGGCGGCCGAACCGGCCAGAGGCGAGGAAGACGACCTCCCGTCGTCGTTTGCTGGCTGTGGGGGCCCTAGGGGAATGGCATGAGGCTGCCTGAGGGACTAAACGAGCTCGGGGCTCCTTTATATAGGCGGCCAAGGTCGGCTCCGACGGCGGTCGCGGATAAGATCGGTGAACCGCCGTTCTGTAGCTCGCAGAACGATGTGTCGAGGTTGGGGATGGCGGCAAGGGCTAGCGGACGAGCGGGAACTGCTCCAGGGGCGAGCTGGCGAGCGCAGGTGGCTCAGGCGGCGTCATCCAGGGCAGGGGCATGTTGTGGCCGGCCGCTAGTGGCCACGGCCGACCTGACGATGGCGCTATGGAGCTCCAGGGGCGGCTCTGCGACGAGGGAGGGGTTGGGCGCGTTGGCTGCGAGTGGGAAAGGATCAGAACGGGCGCAGGGGAGGCGGCAACGAGACGCGGCGACTCGGGCGCACGCACGTGCAAAACGCGCGCTCTGGCCGCGCCCAGAGCACGCCCACCAGGTGCTCGGCGAAATGCCAGTGCGTGTTAGAGAGCACGAATAATGCTGGTAGTAAACAGGCCTAGGTTAGTGGTAGTTAGGATTTTAGTGGACATGGTGGTTAGGCAAAGCAAGCAGGTCCAGTGTGCAAACTAAAACTTATGTCAAATCTGACCATGCACACAAGGTGCTTGAAAAAATGCCAAGAGCAGCTAGCCATTTCTTGGGGTGGCCAAACTCTCCAGACTAGTGTCTCTTTAGATGCAAAATAGGGTGGTAAGGTTAGTTTGGCAAAGACAGAAACTTGTTAGTGGATGTTTTTGAGAAAACCAATTCTGGACAGAAAGTAAAAGGCATAGTTTCATGTACCAAAAATACTCCAATAGGTCCATTCTCCTGGACTTAAGGGTTTTGCAGGGTGGTTGATAAGCAAGAGAAGGATCATGGGCATTAGAGCAACAAAAATTAGAGTTGCTGTAGAAAAAAGCCAGACTGGACCAGAGAGCAAAAGAGGATGTTTTGCTCAAATTTTTCAAAACACATCAGTGGATTTTTGCACAAAGTTGAATAATACACTCCTACTGACCACCCCTAATTTTTGTGGCATTTTTAAAAGAATATTTAAATAAGTTGTAGTGCAAAAAGTGCCATCTGGACCAGATTGGAAAATTTAGTGTAGAGCTCAAAATCTCCAAATGACTAAAGGATATTTTTGCATAAAAGTGATTTAGGAACATCACTTGTCATCCCCAAATTTTGGTGGAATTTTTAAATAAATTTATAAAAGGGTTGCAGTGCAAAAGTGGCTCTAAAGCTTATAAAAATCATTTTTGAAAGAAATAAAGCTCAGGGAAAATAATCATATAAATGACTCCATTGATAAAAGCATTGTTTCAAGGGAGGGTATACAAGTCCAACTACATTTTTTTTGAAAAGTTTTCACTTGGGGCAAAAACTCCATAATATCAAAGAAAAGAAAGGTTCTGAAATCAAAAGATAACCCCGGAAAATAAAAATTTAATTTCCTGGCAGAATTTTAATAAACAAATCATGGTTAAATTTTGGGGTGTTACAATCAAGATTGTGGAGTTGAACCAAGGAGTTTGTAAGGGCAAGGAGATCGCCTACTTCGTGAAGATCTACCCTAGTGAGGCAAGTCCTTCATGGGCGACGACCATGGTGGGATAGACAAGGTTGCTTCTTCATGGACCCTTCGTGGATGGAGCCCTCCGTGGACTCACGCAGCCGTTACCCTTCGTGGGTTGAAGTCTCCATCAACGTGGATGTATGATAGCACCACCTATCGGAACCACGACAAAAACATCCGTGTCTCCTATTGCGTTTGCTTTCTCGAACTTCTCCCCTTTACCTTCATATGCAATTGTTTTACATTCCGCTGCTATACTCTTAGAATTGCATGTGTAGGTTGATTGCTTGACTTGTGCTAAGTTGCTAAAATCTGCCAAGATCTAAAATTGGGAAAAGGCTAGATTTTTATTTGGTCAAGTAGTCTAATCACCCCCCCCCCCATCTAGACATACTTTCAATCCTACAGAAGTCGAGGCGTTGTTGGTTGGCCTTGCATTGTGGGAGAATAGTGAGTAGGCCTTAATAGCGAGCTAGACAGGTGGGGTGGCCGAAGGCTATCTGTAAATAACATTGTAACATCAAGTGTGGAGGGTTTCTACCCTTTCCTTCTATAATATATGATACGTACACTCGTGCGTATTCGAGAAAAAAAAAGTTACAACAAATGCAGGTCAAGTGACCAAAGTAAACCACAAGTAGGGAGTTTGGCTAGGGACAACCAACGACCTAGAGATGAAGATGTACCCCGACACTTTCTTGAAGGAAAGCTAGTCACCATTTCCATGCCTGGTGTTCATGACAACGTAATTTGTGGACTAACCATGTGCTTGAGCTAAACACGCATATTCAAAAGTGGCACAAGACAGATATGCTCCCCTCTGGAAGGAAAAGACCGAAGACGGTGTTTCCGACGCTTTTATTTCTTTGGTCGTAGGAAATTCATATTATTAAGAGGGGGTCCGTGTTGAAAGGTACGTGTGAACTCAAAACCTGTATAGAAACACATATATTGCACACATATCATCTTCCCAACATTTTCGAGGAGAGCCTCAAGTTCTACCAAGTTGTAGAAATTGTACACCCAATATCATGTATTCTATGAGTACAATAAACAAATATGTTAACCTAGGTCGAGTTTTTATTTGGTAGCGTAAGTGAGGCTGTCCTAAACACATTTTTCCTGCAGTTCCTAAAGATGTTATCGTATATGAGATCGAATTGCATGCCTCCTCTAGGCCGGTTGATCACAAACGTCATGTGATCTGCCTCCACGATCTTATAATACCTGAGTTTGTATTGCCACAACAAAAACACAAGAATGTAAGTGCTCTTGTTTTGAGATAGAGAAATTTCGTACAGCTTATGCACATTTGTGGACCTAGAATCGTAGCCCCGAGGGTGCTAAATTGTGCAATTTGGTCCAAATATCATCATAATCCTAGCAAATACTTCTCAAACAACATATAATTCATATATGAATAGTGTCTAGTGTATATTAAAAATTAGATTGCATTTTAGAGGGGTGTCGTGGCACCCCTACTAGATCCGCCACTGCTTCTGTAGAAAGTAGAACAAAGTTTTCAAAAGGAAAAAATTGCTTTCTGCAGAAAGTAGAACAAGGTTTTAACTAAAAAATATTTGTCATTCCACAGTCCCAAACAAGCGAGCCCGCCTGGAACAAAATACAAAATCGTGTCACATTACATAGGCTTGATTGTGATATGTCATACCAGATTCCCGGTTGAAGTCGATGGCAATCTGAATCATCCTCTACCAAGATGCTCGGATGTTCTACCGGAATCCGAGGATGCGTCATGGAGATGGTGTTCAACGCACCATCATTATCCTCCCAATCTTCATCCCTACCATCACGTCCAAAGTGAGACTTACCTAATTGTGACTGAGAAATAGCAAAACCTCACAAAAAATGGGTCCAATTCTGAACGTTATTAAACTCCAAATGTACCATCTAAGTAAGACGGCTGACCTGTAACCTTTGCAAGGGGGCTCGGCGGCGAAGTGGCGCCACCGGCACAACTGCATGACATGTATGAACACAAGAGGGTGAATGCGCATCACGCCGGACGGCACGGTGACGCCGCAAAACTTGGTCGTCCGCCTGGTAGCGTAGCTGAAGTAGAACGTGCCAGGGAACGTGCGCACATCGGCGTTCATCCTGGCGGCGTTCTGGATGGTGAGGTCCGGCAGGATCCAGTCTCCCGTGGCGAACGGCCCCGATGTGCCAGCGAGCAGGCTGGGTAGGCCTGACACACCGACTGTGCGCCAAGACATGCCAAAGTGGTCGAAGCCGAAGTCGTAGTAGCGCTTGAGCCAGGGTATGTCGAGCCAGTGGTAGATGGTGGTACCCACTCGGTAGATCTGGGCGAGGCAGACCAGGCTCATAGACCGGCCATCTTCTGGACTGCCACGTTGTAGACGACACTATTTGAGTAGAGGACCAGTGTATACAAGGTGTCGTGGTGCGACGAGATGAAGGTATGAAATCAAGATGGCGATGGATACCTCTTACCCGGTTATGCATGGATGCTATTAAGTGACAAGTTTGGGTGAGATTAACTACCTATGGGTACGCATATATGTCAAAAGTATTACTCCCTCCATTCCAAAACAGATGACCCAACTTATATAAAGTTGGGTTATCTATTTTGAAACGGAGGGAGTACCTCCATTCCCAAATAATTGAAGTTTGGGTTTACCACAAGCTAAACGTATCTAAGTCTGGCCAAGTCTATTAAAAAAATATGACATATAGAATACTAAATTAGACTCATGTGATTTTTTTTGTGAAATATATTTGGTGTTGTAGATCTTTGCATATTTTTCAGTAAACTTGGTCAAACGTATGAAAATTTGATTTAAGACAAATCTAGAACTTTGATTATTTTGAAACGAAGGGAGTAGCATCCATCGGGGGTCACAGGGATTGGTATGTTCCATCAGTCCCCCGTTACCTATGGGTAACTACACATTAGCACTGATTTGTGGGCCATGATCGTACCACGTCAATTTATTTAGATGTGCTACATGTTATTTAAACTTTTTTGCGGATATGTTATTTAAACTATGGGTAACTACACATTATCTGTGGGTCCATAATTGTAGTTACCTATGGTAACTACAAATTAGCCTGACTTGGTGCTATATATCATTTAAACTATGATGTATGTGAAGAATTCCCTAAAAAATGTTGCATGTGAAGAATGTTGCTGCACCAATAAATATTTCCCAAAACTTTAAATTTTGAGCTTTTATACTGATTTTCGGAACATGTGTCCACGCACACCTTTATAATGATGTATGTGAAGAATTCCCTATAAAGTGATGTATGTCAAGAATTCCCTAAAAAAATACTGCAGAGTCCGCAGGGTGCCTCGCCCATAAGCACGATTTAGATTTAGAATTATTGTTAAACAAACATGCTTGAGTATTCTAGGAAAAAAAGACAAAGTCCGCGGTATAGAAAATAACATGTCAGAGGAACCTCAGTATGAGTAGAACAGTTGACTAGGTTTGCTGACCTAAGCGCATCTCCAACAGCCGCGCTAAACTAGCGCCGCGCCGTAAAATAGGCCTTTTTAGCGCGCGCGCAACGCGGCGGCTCGCTCCAGCGGGCGCGCAAAAATGGCGCGCGCGCGATAACGGGTTGGGCGCGCGGTCAAAAACACTTATCCGCGCGGTGTATTTGGAGCGCCAGCTACAGCGCGCGGCACACTTGAGCGCTCGCGCCCGCACTCTCTCCCTCTCCTCGTCCTACGCCCCGCGCGCGCCGGCACCGGCGCCCTGCCCCCCGCCATGGACGCGCACACCGGCGCCCCGCTCACCCCGTTGTACATCCGCGACCCCCCCGCCGCCGCCGCCGCAGCCGCCGCCGCCGCAGCCGCCGCCGCCGCCGCCGAAAACCCTAGCGCGGCGAGCGCTGGCGTCGCCACCGCTGGAGCTCCGCCGAGCGTCGGCCTCGCGCGCAGCCTCTTCTTGCCGCCGCGGATGACTACGGCGCCGGCGCCGGGTGGCGTCGCGCCGGCGCCATCCCGTGCCGCCGCCGCACCGTCGAAGAAGGTACCCAATGCGCCGCGGGCGAAGAAGGGCAAAACATCCGCGAAGAAGAACAAAGCGGCGGACGGCTCCGGCATGGCGAGGGGGAAAAAGCTTGCAGGGCGTTCGACGGCCGCGGCGGCTACTGTCGTGGTTCTAAGCCTGACAGTAGAGTGGGGGGTAGGTATGGAGAGACAAGGTCCTAGCTATGGAGAGGTTGTAAACACAAGGGATGTACGAGTTCAGGCCCTTCTCAGAAGAAGTAAAAGCCCTACGTCTCGGAGCCCAGAGGCGGTCGAGTGGATTATGTGTATATGAGTTACAAGGTGCCGAACCCTACTACCTGTGGAGGGGGGTGGCTTATATAGAGTGCGCCAGGACCCCTGCCAGCCCACGTAGGAGAGGGTTTAAGGTGAGTTAAGTCTGGGGCGTTACTGGTAACGCCCCACATAAAGTGTCTTTACTATCATAAAGTCTACTTAATTACAGGTCGTTGCAGTGCAGAGTGCCTCTTGACCTTCTGGTGGTCGAGTGAGTCTTCGTGGTCGAGTCCTTCAAGTCAGTCGAGTGAGTCCCTCGTTGGTCGACTGGAAGGTGACCTCTTCTAAGGGTGTCTTTGGGCAGGGTACTTAGATCAGGTCTGTGACCCTACCCTAGGTACATGACCCCATCATTAGCCCCCGAATGGATTGAGGCTTCGAGTGAGGAAGGAGTTGATGTTGTTTCCGATTAACTTTTGCACACTGGTCGTGCGTTGTTCTGGACCAAAGAATCTCTTCGTTGATAGTGACCAACTTGTCTTCAGTCGACTCGATCCATTCTCTTCTTTCGTCGAGTGATCTTTCGGGTTTTGACGATTTCCGAGCGACGGATCGCAGGAAATCCCGCGTCTGACAGACCGATCTGCCGTTCGCGGATTCCGCGGGATGCGAAATTTGGGGAAGCGCGCGAAGCGGAGCGGACCGCGGCGTTCGGATAGGACGGGACATAGACGCCTCGATCCCCGCGCCGCTTTCTTCGCCACGTATCCCGCCTGCATAACTGTTCCTGGATATGATTAGATCGACCGGGCCCACCTGTCATCCACTCGGAAGCGACCTTATAAATACGCCCGGCGAGGGTTTTTTGTACAGTGCCTCAGCATTCTCTTTCTCTGCTCCCTTCGTTTCCGTCCAGCGCGCTCGCTCTCGCCTCCACACAACTTCTCCTCGCGCGTCTCACCGGCAACCATGGCCAAGGAGAAGACGACGGCGCTGGAACGCGCAAAGAAGGCGTCGGCGACGGAGAAGGCGAAGGGGAGATCCACCAGCCGCGGCGGGTCTTCGTCTAGATCCCGCCTGCCGAAGGGCTGGGTCCAAGGAGATTGGATCCAGTCGACCATCACGGAGAAAGATCTCCTCGACATGGCCAACGAGGGCCTGATCCCTCATGGAGCTGCGAGACTTCCGGGGAAGGAGTGGCAGCCCCAGCCAGAAGAGGGTGAGTGCGTGCTCCTAGCTACCCATGTCGACCGTGGATTTTCTTTGCCGCCGAGTATTTTCTTTCGTGGGTTCTTGAACTTCTTTGGAGCGCAACTCCATCACTTTACCCCAAATTCTATCGCCTATCTTGCCGCGTTCGTGTCCATGTGTGAGGGTTTTCTGGGCTGTCGACCGCACTGGGGCTTGTTCAAGCATATATTCACGTGTCGCTCTCAGACCGTGAAGAAGGCGATCCCAGGCGACGAAAGGACCCGAGTTGTCCAAATGTGTGGGGGCCTGGGGATCCAGGTGAGGAATAAGAGCACCTTCCCAGCCATGACTTTTCCCGAGTCAGTCAGAGGCTGGCAGTCGACCTGGTTCTACTGCCAGGATCAGTCGACGCCGGGGCAGTCGAGTGGACTCCCTCAGTTTACCATGGACCGAGTGAACAAGCCCTCCTCTCTGAAGTTGATTCCGGAGGAGAAAGCTGACGTGAAGATGTTGATGGAGCGCGTAGTACAGTTGGTTCGGGAGGGAGTGACGGGCATGGATCTCCTGGAGGTTTTCCTTAGGCGTCGTATCCAGCCCCTTAAGTTTCGGAGCCACTGTATGTGGTTGTACTGTGGGACTGAGGACGAGACTCGGGTCCATCCAGAAGCAGTCGACGATGTCACTCTGGAAAGGTGGATGGCCGCCGTTACCGGAAACAAGGATAACCCACACGGAGCCAGAAGGATTCCTCCACTCGACCACCACAGTGATCCAAACAAAGTATGCCTGCTCTGCTCTCCACTGTGTTCTTGTCATATTCATTTCTGTTTATTCTGCCAATCGGTCGATTGATTTTTGTCTTGATGTCTATCAGGCCCTCACCGAGCTGTACTCGATGCCCAATGGAGCACAGGCTCCGACTGAGGAGGGTGAGGCGAGTGGGGGCGAGAGCCAGGAGGAGGAGTGGGACTCGGACGTTGCTGAGGATGATGATGACGATGACGACGATGACGGTGATGAAGATGATGCTGAAGACGAGGAAGAACAGGAGGAGGAGGTCGTACCACCGCGCTCAGAAAGGTGGTCGAAGCTTGTCCACGACCCTGCGACTGAACGTGGCAAAGGGGTTGCGACCGTTGCACAGTCGACCAAGCGCCCTCGGACCACCTCTCCGGCGCCGACTGAAAAGGCGTCGAAGCAGCCCAGGGCGGCTCCGTCAAAGCCGACCAAGCTCCTGCCGAAGATGAAGGTGTCCATCCCCACCATATCAGGGTAATCGTACTTCTTAAGTCTTCTTATTTTGTACGAACTTTATCTCTGGCTGGCGCTGGGATTAGTCGACTGATTCTTTGGAGTTGCAGTGCTGCTACTTCCGAGACCTCAGCCCGGGCTGATGACCATGAGATGGAGGACGCAGCAACCTCAAAGCCAGGTACTATACTCTTAACGCCGTTTTTAGTCGACTGACTTATGACCTATAATCCTGATTCTTCTCTGTAGCTCCACCCAATGTTGTTATCACTCTCCCAGATGATGATGAAGATGAGGAACCGTTGAAGCACAGAAGGAGTAGGAAAACGTCTGCCAGCAGGGTGCCCCAGGATGTGACGTCGCCTGAGACTCTGGTTGCGGAGGAGGAGAACACCACTCGACACACCGTGTCCTTCGCAGATCCACTGACGAGTGCTCAGCAGCCCTCCCTCTTCACGACGCACCACGTCCCAGAGGACCAAGCTGGCGCCGCGAAGGAGGCGATACGCCAGGCAGGGATCATGATGGAGCAGTTGAGGACCATCCGGGATGCGAGCCAGGCAGCTTACGACGCCAGTTCCGCCCTTCAAAGCAATGTTCAGGTCAGTCGACCATCGTCTATTTTGTTAGGATATGCTATCAAAAACTTTTCTTTCCAACATCTACG